AACACAGTGATGGAGATTAACCTGAGGGCATTGTTTAACCTGTAGCAGCAATATCCCTAGGGATGATGGAGCAGGAGGAAAAAAACTCTTCCACGTCGGATCAAGTTTGCCATTTTGATACAAAGCAAAGCCTCTTTTAGATTGGTAATGTGAACAAATTCAATAAAGAGCTCACTTGTACACCAAACAGTGGTTTCCTGCAAGGCCATTTTTACAGACTTTTTTCAGAGTAGAACCGCAATTTAAGGGGAAAATAACTGCAGGTGAAGAACAATGGCAGAGTTTTGAGAAGCGTGCATATACGATTGGCAGGAAATTCAATGTAAAGGTTATAGTTAGAACAACATTATTTGGAAAGTACCAAAAATATCTTACAGAGCATCTAGAGATCTTCACAGTGTATCCTGTCAGGAAGCGAACTTTAGTGTCCATCAGGGCACCTCTGCCCTCATCCCTTCAACTCCTGCTGGTTCTATACGCTTTCCACTGCTTCACTTCAGAGGGCCCTGTGGACAGGACACCGGGGTGGATCTACTGAGCCCTCCACTGAGCTCACTCCTGGTGAGCTGGGCGGTTTACAAACCACAGGCAAGGCATCCCAGTTAGCCTGGCACTCTGGTTCCAGCTGAGAACCAGCAAAGGGAAGGGATTTGCCCAGCCTAATGACACCTGCGGAACTGATGAATTGTGGGGTAGTTTGACACCACACGATACTTTTGCACTTCACGCTTCTTCACCGTCTCTGTTTTCCTCTTCACCTCTGCCATTTTGTGCAGAGTCTCAGTGGACACGCAACTGAAAACGAGCAGTTTCAGCAGCACTGCTCTTCTCCAATGAAAGCAGTGTGAGGGGAAAAAAATAAGCTTGTGTAAAAAAAATGTGCGTAAGCACATGCCTCAGTCTTGAATATTTTTTAAACTTACATTGCCCCTGAAACACCGACCTGGCCCAAACAACACGTTTAACCAAACCTCCATCACCGCATTTTTACCTGTCACTTTAACACTGAACAACAATGCTGACTATGGAGTTTGCCCGTCTCAGTCACCATTATGAGGACAGGAAGGTAATAACAAGAACACCTCATATGTGTTGCTGATAGTGTGGTTTTGTTTGGCTTCTCACATTACAAATGGCACAATTCCTAACAATATTGGTGTAAAGGAGATAAAAAGTGCGAAATTCTGAGTAGCACAACATCCTGGGCAATCAAGTCCAAAAACTGTGCTGACAACAAGCGTATTTATGTGTGCCGAATGGGGTCTGGACTTAATACCATTATTTATGCCACAGAGTTGTTGCTTTAATACCTTGTAAACTGTGTTTCCAATTAAAATATGCTGAGGCACTTTGTGTCTCCACACACTGGGATTTGGCTGTCTACTAGCTGATCCATTGGACCATACCTTCTCCTTTCACAATTTTGGAAAAGCCAGTTCCAGCTGCCCTTGAGAAAGAGGTATACCCATTACTACTGTTAAGCAAGGGTGGCTGAATAGAGGAGTTCTGGCTCTCCATTGGGAGCCTCATTGGACAAGTCTTCAATGTGACATCAGCTCTTACTAGAAAGCAGAAAATCTGCATAAGCATCTATCATAAAGACATGGATCTATAAAAACCAGTCTCCAGTGAGTGGCTGAACAGATAAATCCTTGTTTCCACTGCTGAAACCTCTAATCTTCTATAGGAACTAACAACATTGTAAGTTTTCCTCTTCCACTATTTCGAGTACCACAGTGCACAACAAACCTAATCTGATTCTTGTACCCTAAAAAAAAAAAAAAAAAATCAGTGGAGTTTTCTCCTTGATAAGCTGAGCAATAAAAGCGGGTGCTTTGTGGTCTTGCTTTCCCAAAGTGATTTCTGATGTTAAGGAAGCTGCAGATAACTCCAGTCTGAAGGATAAACAGGAAAATTTATGGTTAACATGAATGCTCCTTTGCAGTTGCAACACTGGTGATACCAAGAACTTGCAGAACACTTTATTGTTTCAGTTTAGGGCTTTGTGCCAGAATAAGCTACATTCATTTTAAGAGTTCCTGGGAAAGGTGGGCAGTGGCCTGGTGATCCATGCCATCACTGCTCCACCCTGGTAGAGCCTCCAAGGTCCAACACACACAGGCAGTGATTACCAGAGTAGGAGAGTACGCAGCCCATCCTTTCCCCTGCTCCTCTTCAGCAGAGGCTGGGTGGTTCTGATTCCCTAGTTGTCTTCCCAAAGATTGGCCATGGCAAGGGTCTGCAGATGATTAGCAAGAGCATCCAGATGACACCTCTCAGACTCTTGGTCCTTGTGGTATGTGGTGAAGGAAAAGGTTTTGCACTCCAATACCGCTGGCTAAGTGAGGGCTTGGTGCTGGATTAACTGCAATGCTTTCCCAGAAACGGCCATGAGGATCCACTCTTATAACCTCCTGCAAAACGGCTCTGCTCATGTGTTCAAACTTCTCTTTTGCTGCAACGCTATTTCTTTTTGAGGTCAGTCTCTGGGTTGGGTTTCTTGTGGCTAAAAACTCATCCTCCTCCCATACTCTTTTTCCACTACCTGAATGTAAGATCCCTTTGTTGTTAAAGGAGGTTCCATCCTCCAGGTTTATATAGTCTTCAAAAAGAAACTGCCTGGAGGCTTAACATTAGCCTCCTGAACTTCTGGTCAGCAAAACCTTCTTGCCAGACCTGAGCTTGGGCCTTGAGCTGCTCTGGGAGATAAAGGTGAGGAGCACAGAGTGGTGACCACTGCATATGTAAGAGCTGATTCTCATCAACTGGCCCCACACCAGCGGCCATCTTCGTGCAACCCAGACCAGACAGGAAATGTGATATGCTGCACTTCAGAGAATTGTATTCATGTATGGAAAAAAGAGAGGGGTGTGGGGACACGTGGGCAGGTCCATACCTATCTGCGAACCAGGTAGCTATCAGACTGTAGGTTTGCATTTGTGTGTCTATCTTGACTTGGGATGTGAAGGCAAAATAGGGGGTTGTCTGTCTGCAAAGGTGAGGGCACATGAAGCTTTGGAAGGTGGAAAATATTTTTTGCATCCTTGTCGGGTCTACTGAATGGACAAGCCATGCTGAAAAGGCACTGCAGCTACTTGGGTGGGAGGGGGCAATTCTTCCTTCTTTGGAGAGAGAGGGGTGCTTGGCTGGGTAGGGAAGCTGTGGGATGGGTGTTCTTGTGGTGTCACACCATCTCCAAATGTGAGGGTGTGCCTCAAACTTGTTCGCACTCAGCACTGCCGTTATTCCGCTCCTACTCTGACTCAGGATGGATCCTCTGAAACTGGGACAATGATGTGGAATCTGGTTTCATTCTGGTGTTGCTTAGGTCAACAACTCGAGTTATTTTTCACAAAGTGGTCTGTGGTATTTCCACTGTACACAGACTCCCGTCCCCAGTTTCAAAGCAATCTGTAAGTTTGTGCAGACCCTGAGAGCAATATGAGTGAGCAGTTTGGGTATCTGAAAGAGGAAGCTATGGGTCTCTTGCCAGTGTCCCAAGAGGATAGGTCCTTTCCCTCACTCTTTGCCTCACAGCAATGGTTTGAAACTGGTCTTAGTATATCTGAGCACTGCAAGCTAACACCTGACCCCTCCACCCTTGTTTCTGCACCTATTGCTTTACCAGCAGGAAGTAGGACGTGGTTTGGGGCTTTTTATTCTTGGCCTCGCTAGCCTTTTCGATACTTCAGGGCCTTGTCTCAGTCTGACAAGGCAAGCAAGCGGCAGCTTCCTGTGCAAAGGTGAGAGGGAGAAGACAGAGAGAGACCATGCACATATGAGAGGAAGAGCTTTGGAGCAGAACTGCTGGGCTGGAGGCACCTCTCCTCTTGTGGACATGCACTGAGATTGGATATCCACCTTTTTATCCCTCTCCCCTTTTCCCCTCACCATTCCCATTGACATTCAGCATCTGCTTCCATCCAACCTCACAACATCAGCGACTCCCTTCATCTGGACCACTTGGTGACTAGAACTGGAAGGTAAAGGGGGCAATGCCAGCTCTCTCCCACATGGGGGTGGCTGATCTGAAAAGCATCTTAGAAGGAGTTTCAGTCTGACAAACTGAATCTCGCCGTTGGGGAGGGCTGAGCACGTATTTATCTCCCCGTCTCTCCGCAATCTTCTCAAATCATACCCCACATCTCACAACCACGCCACCCGCTTTCTCTCTCTTTCTCTCCCCTTTGTCTGCTCATGTATTGTCATCATGTTTGTCTTCCTCTGAACCTAATCTTTCATCACAACGGGAATTGGTATTTTTAAACCCTCTCTTCCCGCTCCTCTGGCAGTCCCAGTAAGGTCCAGTGGGACTCCAACTTGTTTTCTCAGGTCTGCTTGGGCTCCAGGCTTGGTGAGAGGTGAGAATAGTTTCTTCTCCTGTGGGCAGAGGCAGATCTCCAGATACAGGTGTCCAGGTGGATGGGGAGAGAGAGAGGCTTTAGATGAGATGACCATAAGCCCAGCCTATCTACTATGGAGCATGCCCATACAGGCTTTGTATGACAAGGTGGCTCCCTGGGTGCCAGGGGTGCATGAGGGGTGCTGCAGAGTTTCCTTATTACAAAGCCCAGATTTTCTGATATGCCTGAAAGCATGACTCCTTCCAAGGCAGAGCAAGGTCTACTTGGTGAGGATGGTGCATAGTTCACGTATGACTATGTAATATTTTTTGATATGGTAAAACCTTGTATTTCTAGAACCTGGCAAACTCTTTCTTCTCCCTGATTTCCCTCCCATCCCAAACATGCTATGCAAAATCTGCCTCCTAAGCCATAGGCTCTGCAGCTAACTTTTGTGAGTTACATTCAGAGACCCCTCTTACTCAGCAAGCACCTAGTTATTTCAGCCTTAGGGCTTACCAAAAAAAGAAGCTCTTCAAAGCACAAGACGTGCGCAACCAAGGCAGCACTCTCTACCTGAGTCAGCAAGCAGCCTGAAACAACACACACGGACTGCTGTGCACTCACTCACGCGTTTTCAGAAGGCATGGTTCCTGCAAACAGCCTATCTGTGATGCCCTGCGAACAGTTTCACTGCTGAGAAAAGCACCCAAGGCAGGAAAACAGTGAGGTGCTGAGGGAAGAGCACAGACTCCAGAGTGGAAGGAATATGGGTTTCTGAGCCTAGAAGACTGGCAGTGGCTTTGAGCCCTGCCCTAGGACAGTGTGTGCCTCCTGCGAGATGACTTCTTGATATCTTACTTACGTTGCTGAGCTATGCTGTGGGGGTGTCTTCTCTCTTTCAGTGTGTCACCAGTACAGATGAAGCCCTCATTGCTGCTTCTGTCTCACCTCTGCCTGTTCAGCCTCTTGCCTCCCTTGTGGGCATCAGACTCAGCACAAGGTAAGAAGTGATTCCTTTCACCTGTGCCAGCTGGGTGGGCAGGGAGGGGACTAAGCCGGAGGCATGTGTATACCATGGTGTGTTGCTGTGCAAAGTTCTTGTTGTAACTTACAGCCAGAGGAGGCTGCAAGAGTTACAGTTCTCTCATGAGCACATCAGCCTCCAAGGACACAGAGAAGTGAATGGCTGTGCCTTTCTTTTTTATTGGAGTTATCCAGCAGAGGAGTCAGTTTGTAGTTTGGGGTGGGGCAGAATTGTTCGGGGTGACGGCTAATGCCAAGCTAACTGAGCCACATTGCTGTCCATCTCTTCTTTGCTGGCAGGCACCTCCAGCCTAACTTGTTGGTATGACTCAAGGGCAGCTCTCTTCTGTGACTGGTACCCAGGCAGGGACCTGGCTGAAGCACCGTGTCAGCTGGAGATTTTATCAAATCAAGGTTTTTGTGACAGGTAGGTGATTAGAGAGGCTGAGGAAAGCCAGTGCCACTTAATAAAAATGTAGGCTCCCCCACTCTGGGCCAGGTGTAGTGGAGTCACCAAGTTGAGGTGCTTTGTCTTGTATTCTGTCTCTAACCCATGCGGGCTAAGAGGCTGGCAGGCGCTGCTCAGTGTTTGCCATCTGACAGTCACAAACTGTCTGGCACAACCCATCTTCTGGCTCCATGGCTCTATCTGTGCTTTATTTTAAAAAAATCCCTCTTCCTTGTTAGCCATCGTCTGGACTGAAAGACATTTTCAGCGGAAAAAGAGAATGTATAGAGATGGGGTTGGAGAAGGGTGGATTTGAAGTTATACAGAGGCCATTTGCCCATTGCCAGGAATAGCTGCAATGTTGTGCCCTGAGTAAGAACAAATGAAGGAAAATATTGTCCCCCTTCTCTGCCCTGGCCCTTTCACCTCTCTCAGTTCATGTTTTCCTCTGTCATATGCCTCCCAGCAGAGGGGAGCTGTGTGGCCAGTACCGCAATGGAGGCTGGCTGAGTCCCTGTCGTTCCCAAATAGGACATCTAGCCAAGAGGCTTACCAGCCTACCCCAGGACTTCCCTGGGTGCCTGTCGTCAGGAGAGGCTCAGTGTGATTTTGCCAGTGAGTGGGTTACTTGTGACTGTCATAGAAAGACCTCCAATGGGGTTAGATGGGCAAGTGTATCCTGTGGCTTGGTGCACAGATCTAGAAAGCTAAAACAGTTCTGTTACTCCAGGGGTGTGAATCATGGAGACTGGGGCTGGAATTTGGGCTGGATTTATAACTGTGCCATTGCTTGATCAGGACCCTAGGACAACACCTCTCCCCACTGTCAGCAAGTTCCAGGCCTGATCTGACCTTACAGCTGGAGCAGGGACCTCATTCACATCCCCCTTCAGCTGCAGCCCTTCAGATGCTCTCCCACCCTGTCTCCTCCCATGCCACAGCTCAGCTTAGGCTGTCCAGCTGCATGTCAGAGCAGAAAAGAGGCCATGGTGTGGTGCTTTTATGTGTGATGTACAGTCCTCACTGACTGGGATGCGACTTGGTCCAGAAGGTACATCTCACCCAGTATCTGAGATCCTGCAGGACTGTCAGTGGCTTGAAGGAGACCTGTAAATCCTAGAGGGGCTGAAAAAGGCATGTCTTCTGGGGCTGCAGGGTGCAGTTGTGGGCAGCAGATGTGTTTGGGCTCTGCATGCCCTCTGAATATTAACAGAACACAGCGAGGGTAGGAAGAGGTTTTTGTGAAGTCTTTGAAACTGGAAATCTACTGTTATCTTTGGCCTGAAATAACTGGGATGCACTGACTCTGCATGTGCCAGCACATAAAATTTGTTTGAGTGGTGCAGTGGGGAGAGCAAGTAGAATTAAATCTTTGCTGCAACCTATTGAACAAATATAGCAGGATGCAAAATGCTTTGAGAGCCCCTTAGTGTTACATAATGTTTGACTAAATACAAAACAACATCCCCAGCTCATTGTTGTTCTCTAGCTTCAATCCCATGTCATCTCCCTTTCCTGAAAAAGACAAGAAGGACTGTGAATTACTCAAGGCAGAACACAAGACAGGACTGAGAAGATGCATTAAGACCTTCAGCCACGATAGTAATGTGAGTAGTTCATCTGGGATGTCCTAGCTAATGACAAGGTGGGAAAGATTTGTATGTGTATTTTGGGTGTATAAACAGTGTGACATTCAGGAGCAGTATAAAAACCCCACACCTAATCCCTGACTCCAGTTCTGGAGTTGGGCTTGGTGCTGTGTGTTGTTGACATGCATCACTCCTGTGGGTACCACTGCAGGAGGGATTGGCTTCATTGTGAGCTGGGCCATGCTGTCCTGACCATGCAGAAAAGGTGCAGGACAGACAGATCATATGCAGTGTCCTATGTCTCAATTACCCGTGTTTGGCCCTAACCCATTCCTCTGAGGAGGGAGGACATCACCACCAGCTCTGAAGTCCTCTCTTGATCTCATTTTCCTTTAAGAGGTCAGTATAATTTTCCAGATCATTAACTACCGTGAAATCTGGTTAGACTGTGTCTGTTAGACTACTCTGTGTCAAATGCAAGATGCAACAGCAACACATCAGTAGAGCTAATGGTGATGCCAACCTTCTAAGTATTATTCTTTATTTGAATCAATCTTAATTTAGACTCATTATGTACTTCCTTCAGTCATACCCAGAGTTACTGCAGTCCCTGTGATTTCAGAAAATGCCCACCCAAATATAAGCTAATTCTCCTTATTGATAAAGTCACAACCAGTTCTAACGACAGACAAGCTTTCTTACATTTGCATACCATGTGCAAAGACAAATTGCAGGGTTGGTAAATAGTTCCAAAATCTTTTCTTTCTAATCAAGCTAATTTCCCTATTGCTTATTCAATACTGTATGATGCACGTGGCCCTTCAGTATCATTGCATTTCAAGTGTAACATTTAATGCTAAAGTGGTTTCAATCTTAACCAGTGAATATAAAATGATTTAGTAAAAAATTTTTTTCTCAATAAATGTCATTCATAGAGAGTAACTTTTTTTCCTGCTTAGTCAGCACACATAGGAATCTTAGCAAACTAGCATATCACATTATTTTATGCCCTTCTTGCCAGTACACAAAAAAAAAATCCAACCACATATAGTATAAATCTTATAGAAAGTATAAATCTTTGGTTCCTCGCTCACCACAGAGATTTATGCCTTTCAGCCACAAATATCTTCTGTATTTATTTTCCAGTATTCCTAAACATCTTATACTTAGGCAATGCTTTGAAATTTGAATGCTTATTCATGAGGCCTCATTGTTACTATGGTTAATTTTCCTTGCAGACTCAATGCTTCACCAGGTCAGACCGTCTTGCCATGTCTGTCCATTGCCGGATTGGAGAGAATAAGTCTATACCTGTGCGAATAGAAAATTTCAGTCCACTTGCAAATAGTGAGTACTCATCTGTCTTCCAGTCTCTGGAACCTCCCCATGAGAGGATGGCTAATTTCTCTCCCCCATCCACCCCTAAGCAATACCCACAGATGATTTTAATCTTGTGTCTTTTGTTTGTCCCCTGCTACAATGAACACAGGTGAGCCCCATTGACTTCTGCCACTTGCACCTTTATCATGCAGTGTCATGCCAGTTCCATCCTGTCCTGTCCCATCTGGGACATTGTTAAATGAGAGTGCTTTGCACTAGAAGTTCTGGCTTCAAACAGGCAATGACAGCTCAGCTCCCCTCCCAAAAAATGCGTGCTCCAAGGAGGCTTGCTGCTCTTCCTTTGCCCCTCCTACTAAGTGTGTGCTTCCACCCTCCTTTAAGCCAGCTTTGGCATGCACCAGTCTTTGCTGAAAAGATTCCCCTCACTAATCCAAAACATCTGCTTGGGACATTTTTTTGCTGTCTCAACAATATGTCCAATAGAGCTGCTGCAAGATGAGGCATAAGAAGGCATGGCTGGAGCCACGAATCAAAAGGATCAGCCTAGACAGTCCATGTAACTCCATCCCCTGTGGCTGTAGCTCTCTGAAAGAGGATCTGGGAAGCAACTGTCTTCCCAGTCATGTTCCATTCCTATCCATATAGTTGCCATGTGGATCACTCCTACAAGATAGGATGCTTGGCCACATGGATTGATTGCACTGACTGCAGGGGCCACTCTCACAGGCTCACAGGAGGAACTGTCTTTAACATAGTTCAGAGGCAACAGGCCTTTTGCAGTTAGTGATAGTGGGGAAAAAGAAAGAACAGAGAGGGAAATTCACAAACTCTCTCATGTGCCTGTGGCTTGCTGGAGTCTGTGAGCACAGCCAAGACACCAGCCTTGCTGCCGTGGGGCTTGACATGCTGTCATGTTAAGGACAGAATGGAGATATCAGCCCTGCTCCTTCTCTCTTTCCAGTAAAGCTGAGGCCTCCAGGAGATCTTCATCTGGTTAACATAACTGAAAACACCTCCAACTTAACATGGAGCCTGAATATTTCCTCTCACTATTTGAATGGGGAGCGGGAATACCAAGTGCGGTACCGAAATATGAGTCAGTCCTGGGAGGTGAGTACAGAGTGGGATACTGGGACCTGTTACCATACGAATCCTGGTCTTCTTTATGTCACAGAAGACTTGCTCCTGGGCTTCCCCTCAGGATGAAACCAGTTTTGGTGAAGCTGGAAAGCGGATGACAGTCTCCGCCCTTTTGTCTCTGTTACCTGCTGCCAGTGTTTGTTGATGACAAGGAGGCAGATGTGGGTCCTATTTTACTCAGTGCTGTCACAAAAAAATTTAGACAGTTCCAGGACAGACCTGAAAGGGATGAAAAAAAGCAAAGTGAAGAAAAATTTTCCTCCAGGGTGAAAAAGCAGTGCACAAGGTGTAGCAATTTGAGACAGGTCTTCTCTGAGGGCTTTGGAAAAGATGCCTACATGAGTCTCTAAACCAGGGTGTTGATGATGTTGTAAATTTTCCCTACTTCCAGGAGGCCATGAACTTACCCATTGAACAAGACCAGATGTGGGCAAAATTTGAGAGACTCTCACCCAACTCGAAATATGAGGCAGCTGTCCGTGCAAGGCCAAGTGCCAGAAGTATCTACAAAGGCGTGTGGAGTGACTGGAGCAAGCCGATACTGTGGAGGACACATGCTGACCATGAGGATCAGTTAGGTAGCCCACCTTGGAGGGGAAAATGGGAACTCAGGGAAAACAAGGTAGAAGGGCCAAAACAGTCTGGGAAGCTGAAGGAAAATGGGTGGGAGGACTGTGTTGGCCAGAGAGCAACAGAATAGTTGGAAACAACCTGTCCCTCCTAATCAGTTAGGTCAGACCAGTTCAGCAGCGCTTAAAGGCAAAGACCCCCTGACCCCAACAAAGTCCCTCTGACTTCCAGAAGCCAGGTAAAATTCACAAGGTGTAAATTAGGGACTGCTTCCCCAGAGCAGTAAGGGCAGATGTCTGACCTGCAAAATCAGTGGCCAGGACTGGCATTTTCCCAAATGCTAATGTTACCTAGGAATACACATCCAGCTTCCTAAAATGGCTCAGTTCATTGGAGGTATTGATCAGTGAAATGCAGTGAAATACAGTGAAACTGAATCAGGAGTTCTCAGCTCCTGAACTGAATGACACCTGAGCCTGAGAAACAGAGTCTCATGGAGAATGGAAGAAACAGACTTACATGTATGTTAAGTCTCTCTCAAAAAGTCTGCTGAGACTTGCATCAGTCACAGCATGAACCTCCAGCCTTGAAAGATAGTGCCCTTTGGTGAGTCACTGGCTGTGGTCTCTGTCATTTTTTTTTTTCCGAATTAAGCAGATAGATGTTATTCCTTCTCATGCCGCCCCCACTCTACCCCTGCTCAAGCCCTCCCTGTTGTGCCTGGTGCTGACATAAACAGAGGAGCTATGTTTAGAAAGGGCACTGTGTTGCTGTGGCAATCAAATTTTGACAGTGTGTGATGTCAGTGAATAGGATACAGCCGCAACCAGTTGTCATAGCAACCAAGACCCAAAGATAACCAGGATACCAGAGGCAGAGGAGTCAAAGTGATCTGAGTAGCATCTCAAGGACAAGCAAAGAAAGAATGTACTAAAAATGTCTCCTCCTTCTTTTATTTTTCTCTTCTCCCTCAAAACTACTCCACAGATGCTCTGCATGCCCAGACCAAGGGACACGAGGGATGGAAATGAGGGGCAGGCAGGGGAAACAGGCACAAGAATAGCAAGACCAAAAAAGGGTGCACTGGGGAGATATGTTTGAAAGTGACAGATTAAGAAAAGTTTGAGATGATGCCAAACAAGCTTGAGGAGTGCTGGCAGCCCTGGCACTGTGGGAACTCAGTCTCTTTCTCCTAACGCTACTGTCCAAGTACTAAATTATGGTGCACAGTTGTAACCTTCCTAGTCTCCTAAAGCTTTCCTACACAGCGCTCTGGAGAAAGAAGCCAACGCCTTGATCCCTAACCATCTTTATCCTCCTGCCTTCTCAGAGACCTGTGAACCCTATGACTCTGTCTCCCCCACTGACTCATAATGCTGTTCCAAGCCTCCAATCCCACTTTAGCTGGTTTTAGGAGTGCCTGCTTTCCTTTGCAAGGAGACAGACAGGTTGATGGACACTTCAAACAGCAGACTGTGGCACCTTATCTGTGGCAACCCCCAGTGGTGGCACTGTTATGAACAGGGGGTTCAAGCTCTTCAGCACAATTTATCTGTTAAGCAATGCTTAGGGTCTGAAACCCATATCAGCTCAAAGGCATCCTACACAACATGTCAGAACTCATGTATCTGACCTGTATATTATAATTCTATATACTATAATAGTATATAAAATTATAAAAAGGCTCAGTTTGATCACCTTGAACAGCCATGAAAAGGCTGCAGGTTCTACCTCCAGAATCCTGGTTAAATTTTCACAGCAATTTCCTTGTTATTTCTCATCTTGCAGAAACATCCTGGCCAGCCCTGCAAGCTGTTATAGTGAGCACTTTCCTCTTTGTGATCATTGGGACTGCCTTCCTTATTAACTTACGGACCCTGAAATGGTAAATGAGAATCAAGTTTTCATCTTTGTTCCTCTCCTGTATCTTGTACATATTCTCAAAATTTGGGTTATTTTTCACTTGGTAAGAAGTCAAGATAGAGATGACTTTGAAATATGGTTTATAGGCCAACATTTTGAGGCTGACATTTGCCTGGGGAGACATATCACCACCCAAGATGATGTGGTTTCACCACCATCGTTGTATTGTTCCATGCTCCTGTGACCTGGTGCCATGTCCTGGCTAAATTTGAAACAGCTACCTCAGCACATTTGCTGCCCAGGGCTTAGAGTGGTGTTTCCTGACAGGGATGCATCAAAATTACCTCTTCAAAAGCAGGTCACTGTGTTGAGCACTCTCTCAGTAGTGAGGACCAAGCAAGCCTAGGTACCGCTACCTTCTCATTTAAACACTCTAGCAAGAACTCAGGCAGGACGTGGTGACATTTGGTCTGCAGGCAGAACTCCTGAGTGAGGAGTACAATTCTTCTTCCAGGTCTGTGCAGTCCTCACACACTGATAAACCTCTATATGATGCTTTTAAGACCTCTTTGCCAGTGTTTCTACCCAGACACTGCTTTCATTCAGGATGGAAAGTGTCTCACAGGGTTACCCCGTGCAATAATAGGAACAGTGACCTGTCAGCGTGGTGCAGTTAGAAATAGCTACAGGTTTTCCCATCTCAGGTCGGGGGCAAAGAAGCAGGGTGCTGATGTGCAGGACAGAGAGCGGGGAGAAATATTTTCAAGGATGAAGTAGCAGAGGCTGGATGGTTTCTCTGTAAGGAAAGACAGAGGACCATGTTGAAGGAAGATGGACACTGAGAATGTCACTGGTCACTGTTTTAGCCTGAACCATAACACAAAGGTGAGAAAATGCTAGCTGTACAGCACAGAGAGAGTTAAAAAGGCCTCCTTTATCCATAAAGTATAATTAACCTAGGGGAACTGAATGGAGAATAACGCTGAGGTAAGAAGCAAGGAAGGATTAGACATGCATGAATAAAAATAGCATCTGCAATGATGTAAGGTAGTTTATATGCAAGAACTAGCAACTCCTAATGCTTCAGAGAGTACACTGATTGCCTCCAGAGGTCAGGAGGGTCTTTCCTAAGAGCAAAGCTTCAGGAAAGAGACAACAGGATCAGCCCACCTCTCTGAGGAACATAGGAGCAGGTTAGATCACTTCATGCTGCCCCAGGACGACAACACACTGGTTCCAGTAAAGCAGAGGCCTCCGTACTGATGCAAGACGTACGCACTCAGAAGGCTTGCACAGCCAGTGTGCCCCAGATATACCATGCAGCATTCTGCTAAGAGGGCAGAGACCTGTGGTAGAGCTTTGCCAGTGATGGTCATACTTAGGCCAGATGGTCCTCCAAGTCATTATGTTGGCAGCAAAGCAAAGAAGGGGTAGCTCACAACAGCTGGAGCTTGGAAACAAGGGAAACCTGCTCAGTTTGTCATCAGAACAGGGGCCTAAGGGGGCAGGTGCAGAGGTCAAAGTGACCAGTCAAGGCACGGGAGAAAACAGTGAAGTGGTAGTTGCCCTTCCCTAGGAAAGAGGCCAAGAGCAATGTATTTTCCAATGCCAGCTTTAACTGTCTCATCTCTATACCTCTCATTCCTCAGCTTCTGCATGTCAGATCACTCAAAGGCAAGGACAGCATTCAGCCTTGTTCTTGTTTTACCTCTCCTCCATACCAGGCTACTACCTGTGAGCTGCAATGCTCTCTCCCTACCCCTCCATAGTGACAGAGAGATCAGGATCAGGCCCTGCTTCATTTGTTCTTTTCCTTCTGTTTTGTCAAGGTTTAAAAAGATCCTGAAGATTCACATCCCAGACCCTGAGAAGTTCTTTCCCCCCCTTGTTTCGCTTCATGGAGATGACATTCAGGTATTGGACTGGGGGTGGAACCATTTGGTTAGGAGGGAGACATGAGGGGAAGGAGTGTCCAGCTGCACACGCCAGGACAGATAGCCGGTCAGACCTACACATGCACACATGGCATGTGTGCCTGTAGCACCAGCTGCTGGGTTCTCTGCTTGACTTCTATTTTCTGACCTTCTAAAACCTGACACTCAGCTGAGGCACGTCTAATTAGAGAACTGAGAAACGGCAAACCATGCAGACCTCGGCACCCTGCTCCCGTAATGGGCAGCCTGAGAGAAAACAAGGGACTGCAGGAGGGAGACTGACCTCTCAATAACTCCTTCCACCCTATTTTGGTGTCTCCCTGCCTGCCCTAGGCTGCCCAGCTCTTCCCCAGATTTCCTGCTGTGATCCCTTCCTTCTAGCTGTGAGCCTTTCCTCTGTTCCTAATGTGAAATGCCATCACAGTGGATGGCACTTAGCTAATTTCTGCATTCTTGTCTCTTTCCCTTCTTTCTCTGCTTCACTTTTTCCCTTCCCCTAGTCTCACAGTGAGTATGGGCAGCTGCAAGGAGACAATTACCATTCTGTGCAGTATTAAAGGGAGTGTCAGATGCAAGACGTGGGAGGTGATCCCAAGGGGCATTTTGCTTTAAGAAAGATGGAAACAAACTGCAGAGGGCCCAGAGACGGCAAAGCTTTGAAAAAGCCTAAGTGCAAAAAGCTTTAGAAAGCTTAAACTACAAGAAGAGAGTGCAGAGTAGGGGAACAGGAGTGTGCAGCAGGCACCGAGGACACTTTGTCTGTGCAGAAAGAACTTGAAAAGTTGGCTTTATGGGCCATAAAGGCAATGAAGTTGGATGTCATCAAAACCAGTTTATTTTTAAGGACAATGATGCACTGCAGGATATTCCCCATGATGAATGTGGAAATGAGACACAAGGGGCCTGGAAGAGCACTTTAGATGAGAAATCTGCATATGGCCATGTAGATGTATTAGAAATAGATTGCATGAGATGCACCTCAGTCCTGTTTTTCATGTTTCCACCTTCACTTCATCTAATGGTCTTCTAAGGCTTTTCTCCTCCTTTTTTTTAATTCCTTTTGGTTTAACTCTCCATCTTCCCTTCCCTGCTCCAGAAATCTCAAAACATAGGCTTATAAGATCCACTCTTGATTTCAAAGGGACAGAAAGTCTCTCTGAAAATCCTGCAGATGAGACATCATGAATGTTAAATTTCCTCCCCACCGCCTCTGGTATCTGGTGCTTGGACAGAGAACAGATCACTTGATTGTTGTGGTCACTCAAGAAAAGAAACTTTTGGTTCCTCGCTGAGTACTATACTTCGGGTGTCCCAGTCTCTCTCCTGTGTTTCTTTCCCTTTAGAAATGGCTCTCCTCTCCATTCTCCACATCTTCCTACTGTGTGAACAGCACAATCCCGGAGATCTCTGTGCTCGAAGTAATGCAGAAAAATGACCAGGAATCCCAGTTTCTACTTTCCAAGGGAACCCTGACTCCTGATCCTCCCTCAGAAACCAGTGTGCACTCTGTATCCAGCTGCTTCACCAACCAAGGCTACTTCTTCTTCCACCTTCCCAACTCCTTTGAAATCGAGCCCTGTCAGGTCTACTTCACCTACGAGCCTTTCACGCAGGAGGGCAGTGGCAGCAAGGATGGCAAGTCTCACCATGCTCTCCCCTCTCCAGACCTCTGCACACTGGCAGCAGACATGACTGTGTTGCCCCACAACTTCTTTCACTGTATCAAGGCAACCCAAGGCTTCCAAAACAGCTCCATCATGAGAGAGACAGAGGGTGAAGCCCAGCAGGCCGTGGCTATTTCTGGGTCAAGTGAAGGCACCTCATCAACACCAGTTCTGAAACAGGATGAGAAGGTGATGGACAAAGCAGTTTCACGGCCTGATGAGGCTCTGTGCCAGCAGAACACTGACTTTCCTGATCCACTGGACCTGCATGACAGCAATACTATCGATGCAACAGAGGGGAGTGGGAAGGCAGACCCTCCAGCTGACCACTGTACACTAGCAGCAAATGCTACCTCTTCTCCTTCCCAGCCTCCACCTCTAAGGCAAAGACAAGATGAGGATCTATGCAAAACAGCCTTCTCCAGCCAGGTCCCAAACACTGATTCCTACCTTTCTCTGAAGGACCTCCAAAGCCAGTATAACCACTGCTCGGTCTAGAATTGGTCTGGAGGAAACCCACAAATGGTAAAGGCCACCTCTTCAGGGAAGGCTAGATCAGCAGTTTTTCTATTCGGGACATGAATGTGACTCCAGACTCATTAATGAGTCTGGAGAACGTAGGCCAACAAAGACTCGTCTTCATAACTGAACCTGGTTTTCTGTTATTATTGGCTCTGATGGTATGGAAAATCCTTCCCACAATGCTCAAGTAACATCCCAAACCACACCACCTTGCTTTTCCCTTCCCAGCTCCCAGCAGGAGGCTGTGCCAGCATTTCCATGCTCTGCACCTTGGTGTAAAATAGCACTCAGCTTTGAGGCTGAGCAGGCATATGGTCCATTTGCCTTATTCTGGCCTAAAAAGCTCTGATGGGAGGGGAAAATGCCTGAAGAGGTAGATATGAGTTTTTGTACAGGGGACAATATCACTGCCAGTCACTTCTGGGGCTGATGAAGAAATGGATGAAGACACCTCCTCCTGACTGAACAAGGGTGTGATTTTTTTCCATGATGTGCTCACTTCAGGTTTTAATCAGAGATTACATTCTAAGCTACCCAGTCCAGCTTTAGACTCAAGTCTCCAAGGTCAGATCAGAGCCACAACTGTGGCAGCAGTGCAGTGTAAAAAAGAAATCCCCATTATTGGGTTAAAAATACTGGGGAAATCCCCTCCCCCTCTTTCTTTCCTCCAGCTCTGATAATGGCAGCAAAAAGAACTTACACAATTTCCCATTCTTGCTATAATATTTTTCATGAAATCGAAAGCCTCTCTGCCCTTCTGGCAAACTACAGTTACTTGACAACATTAAGCTGATTGCAGAATAGTTCATCCCACATCCTGTATTAGTGGAAAACATCACAACCGTGCTGCCCATTCCTTCCATTGCTCAAGAGGAACCACTGCCTGATTAGCAGCAAAGATGCAATGAATGAGACCAGAAAACTAACCCACAAATCAGCACCTTTGCTGAAAAGAAAACTTCAATCCACTCATAAAGAATGGAGATAGCACAGACTTTGGTTTTCTTTTTCCTCTACATGCATGTATCTGGGTTAAGAAAAAGCAACACATCACAGAGGAAAGGTGGCAAGGCAAAGGAGGACAAGTTGTTCTGGTTACATCAGACTTTGTGTTCAACATCTGTACCATCTGTCCACTTTCTTGCCATATTTCTGGACTTTTCAGCAGTGGGAAAATACCACCCTGTGCTAAGAGTTCTTAGACTTCCTCTAAGAGTTCTTCTAAGAGTATTTATACCACAAGGCTCAAGGATATTGAAGTTGTTAGTACTTATGTCACACCTGTGAGTGTCAACTAAAACTAATTCTTTCCTATCTCTGTCTGAACAAGCATCAAGCTTCCACTTTGTCCTGGTCCTACACTGTTACCTAACCTTGCATTATGCATCCTGAATGTAATTAGGAATCCCAGCTACAGGGTCACCCACTGGCTTGGATTTCCCCTCGAAAGAGCTGCTCAAAGAAGTTGGGCCTGCCTGTAGCCGAGAGGGCCATGGGAACTGAACCTCTCCTCTCATCAGCTTCTTCACTACTTGTCTCAAGACATGGACTGCTCTGTTGTCTCCAGGAGACAACAGGTGAAGAAGATCCCTCACCTTCCCAGACAAGGAAGTACAAGGCTTTCCCAGCTGTTTCATGTACTTTGAGAATCTTCCAAGATGAACTTTGAAAAGAGACACTGAATCCCTTGCCCCTGATGAGCAATTTGCTATCTTACATGGGCCAAGGATCCTAGTTGAACTGATGGGTATCTTGCCCCCATGTAGATCTTCATAAGCTTTTCAGTTTTCCTTCATAGAATCATAGAATCATTAAGCTTGGAAAAGACCTCCAAGATCATCAAGTCCAACTTTGACTGGGTACTACCATGCTCACTAAACCATTGCAAAGTGCCATGTCTACTTGTTTTCTGAACACTTCCAAAGATTGTAACTCCAGCACTTTCCTAGGGAGCTTATTCCAGTGTTTAACTACTCTTTCAGTGACAAAATTTTTCCTGGAACCCAAACTGAACTCCTCCTGGTGCAATTTGGGGCTATTTCATCTTGGCCTATCACTTGTCACCTGGGAGAAGAGACCAACCTATACCTTGCCACAGCTGCCTTCAGGTAGTTGTAGAGAGCAATAAGGTCTCCCTTGAGCCTTCTTTTCTCCAGGTTGAACAACCCCATCTCCCTCAGCAACTCCTCATAAAATTTGTGCTCCAGACCCTTTATTAACTTCTTTGCCCTTCTCTGGACATGCTCCAGCACCTCAATGTTTTTCTTGTAGTGAGGGGCCCAGAATTAGACACAGTGCTTGAGATGCAGCCTCACCAGCGCCAAGCACAGAGGGACAATCCCTCCACTAGTCCCACTGGCCCACACTATTTCCAATGCAGACCAGGATGCCATTGGCCTTCTTGTCCACCTGGGCACACTGCTGGCTCATGCTCAGCTGGCTGTCGACAAACACCTCCAGATCCTTTTCCTGCTGGGCAGGTTTCCAACCACTCTTCCCCAAGCCTGTAACACTGCACAGTGTTGTTGTTACTCAAGTGCAGGACCTGGCACTTCATCTTGTTGAACCTCTACAGTTGGCCTCAGCCCATCAAGACAATCTTTCCAAATCCCTCTATAGGGCCATACTACCATCCAGCAGATCAACACTCACATCCAACTTGGTGTCATCTGCAAACTGACTGAGGGAGCCCTCGATCTCCTCATCCAGGTCACTGATAAAGATGTTAAACAGGGCTGGCCCCACCACTGAGCCCTGGGGAACCCCAGTAGTGACCAGCTGCTAACTGAATAACTCTTTAGGCTCAGCCATCCAGATGGTTTTATACCCAGCGAAGAGTATGTATATCCACACCGTGGGCTACTAGTTTCTCCAGGAGAATGCTGTGGGAGACAGTGTAAAATGCTTTAATAAAGTTTAGGTAGACAACATCCACTGTCTTTCCCTCTTCCACTAAGCAGGTCACCTTCTCACAGAAGGAAATCAGGTTGATCAGTCAGGACCTTCCTTTTCTAAACCCATGCTGGCTGGGCCTGATCCCCTGGTTGTCCCGCACATGCCACATGATGGCACTCAGTGACCTGCTCCATGACCTTCTCTGGCACCAAGGATGGGTTGAGAGGCATGTAGTTTCCTGGTGAAGGAATTCTTCATTCACCTTCCTCATTCCGACTCTTTTTGTAGATGGGTGCCACACTGGCTAACTTCCAGTCATCTGGACCCTCCCTGGTTAGCCCGTACTACTGGTAAATGATGGAGAGTGGCTTAGTGAGCTCTTCTGCCAGCTCTCTCAGTACCCTTGGGTGTATTCCATCTGGCCACATGGACTTGTGAGTGGCCACATGGACTTGTGAGTGTCTAGGTGGCACAGCTGGTCACTAACTACTTCTCCCTGGATTATAGGAGGTTTATTTTGCTCACTGTCTCTGTCCTCCAGTTTAGGGGGCTGGGTACCCTGAGGACATCTGGTCTTTCTGTTAAAGACTGAGGCAAAGAAGGCGTTAAGTAGCTCGACCTCATCCTGGTGGCAACGTTCCCCCTCTACATCAAATAAAGGATGGAGATTCTCCTTGACTCTGTTTTTGTTCTTTATGTATTTGTAAAAACATTTTTGTTGTCTCTTATGACAGTGACTAGATGGAATTCCAGCTGGGTTTTCTTCTTTCTAATTTTCTCTCTGCGTGGCCAAATGATACCCATGTACTCTTCCTAATTACGTCTTGCTGCTAAGATGAGTACAAAAGAGAAGGCTTGCCTCTTTGTAAATAAACAAAATATTAGGTAATCTATAGTGTTCATCTGTCATTTGGTGTGGGCAGAAACAATTAGCAGCTTTTCTAAATAGGGAACTAGGTAAAGCTTTGCTTGGACCAATATACCTTTAGCTTTCCTTCCTACTCCCTTCCCTCAGCCACCTAAAACAGAAAGCAGAGTTGGAAGTGATCCTGCTGCAAGCCCCCTGAGGACCATCCTGCTGGCTTTTCTGCTCCCCTTGTGAAAATGGTGACAGCTTTCACAGCCATGCTGGGTGTGAATGTGTGACACACTGCGGCAGGAAGTGCTCGATGTCAGATCTGGCGATAACCGGACCTTTCTTCCAGGAAGATGAGGTCATGTGGTCTCGTATGTGAGTAACCTAGGCTGTGAATACTGAAGGCATAACACTCTCAGTGATTTGGGGCCCTTTTGCTTCTGGGTCCTCAAGAGCTCTTTGGAAATGTCACACAGCGAGCCGTCCCCTCTCGAATGATGGTGTGTGGTTTGCCAAACCACAGAAACATGCTGCAATGGTGTCCATCAGTACCAGAGGCAAACCTAAGCTGAACAACAGCACTGTGTGGAAAACATCAGTATGGAAAATATTGAGCTAACAGCCACAGTCATGAGTCCTCTCTTTATCTTAAGCCCAGAGACAGCACAGATAGCTGTCACATCTCTCATCTCCTTCTTTCCAAAATATCTTGTTCATAAATAGACATTACTCTCAGCCTCCTCCCACACCTCTCCCTCTTTTTTACTTGGAGAAACATAAAGTAAAGGGTGCTTGCAGTAAAGGAATTCCTCTGAAGTCAGATCTGATCAAGGGTTTGGGTCCTTGGTTGATTCAAAAGCCTGTGGTGACAGATGTGGTATCCTTGCTTAGATAGATCAGACTGAGATTCTGCATACTTTTGTTCTGCTAAAAACACCAGAGAAGGAAGATTCTTCTTTCCAGGAAAGTTGAATGCAAAAAGTAAGGTCTTTGGCGCTGGGAAATACCCTCAGCTGCATTCTAACCCATTGTGGTAAGCCCTCATAGTGTAAACTCAGCAAAGCTCTATATGAATACGTATATGCCTAATGATGCAGCTAGTCCCTCATTATCTGTGGAAATTTTGGCTCAGAGTAAGTTTTAAAAGTGAAATCAGATCTCAGATCTCTTAAACAGTTCTGAAAGCATTCCCATTCAAACACTACTGCCTTTTATCCACATTTAACATTTATTTACTAGAATCCACCACGAGGCAACTGCAGAAATGGGTTTTGGTCTTCATGCAGTCCCAGACCAAACACGATCTAGTGGCAGA